TTGCCCTTCACCTCGCCTCCACTTCTCCATGAAGGGAAGGAGCTGAGACCCCGAGGGGATGCCCAGATAAGCTCACACAACTGCCTTCTCTTCCATATCCCAACCTGGGTATACTGGAAGGCTCCCTGGAGTCTTCTGCCCAGGCACCAAGGAGGGGCCCCCACCCCTGGCCTCAAAGAGGATGGAAGAGCCACCTATGCAGGAAATCCACCCCTCTCTCTGGGCCTCAGTTTGTTCCTCTGTGAAATGGGACCAGTTGATCTCTGAGAACCTTCCAACCCTAAGTCCTGTGCTTGTCTCTCCTAGAATAAGGGTGAGGACGAGGATGCTGAGGCCCAGAGAGGGCGGGGTACCTGACCAAGGTCACACACCTGTTAGTGGCAGGGACAGAACTCAAGTCTCCTGACTCTGAGTTTATGCTTCCTCCTGGTTCTTCCCTGTCCTGAGGCTGAGTTGAGGGCTGGGTCGGGGGAGGTGGATTGCCAAGGGTGGGCATGACCTTTCCTGGAAACTCTGGGCTCCAGGCTTTCTTTTCCCTGGTGACCAGGCCTGCGCTGCTGGTTCCAGGAGACCCTGAGCCCTTGTTCCAGCCTGCCCTGGGCTGGCCCAGCCCCAGAGTACACAGTGAATGGGAAAAACCAATGGCTTGGCAGGTTGTGGATTTTCTGACAATAGATGGTTTCAGCTCCCTCCCCACCCCCACCCCCACCCTGCTGGCTGTTGCACAACACCTTGGGGGTGGGGGAGGGACAGGAAAACAGCCCGAGATCTCAGCCCTGAAGAGGTGAAAGGGACTTTAGTGGGCTCGAGCGGGTGTGAGGCCGCTCAGCTTGATCCACTCATTTTACAGAGCAGTAAACTGAGGCACAGAGAGTTCAACGAAGTGACTTGCATAAGATTACACCTAGGAGCCTAAATCTGGAGCTGTGTGGGGCCTCTGTGGCCATCTGACCCAACCCCATCATCTTACAGAATGGTAAACTGAGGCCCAGGAAAGAAAAGTGATTAGCCAAAGGTCACAGGGATACAGTCAGCAGAAACACTTGGAACGCCAGCCCATGGACTCCAGGCCAGTATCCATGAAGAAAAAGCATTGGCCTTGAAATCAGATCTGTGACCTTGGGCCAGTCTTTTCCCCACTGTGGGCCTCAGTCTCCTCACCAGCAAAACAAGGATAGTAAACACCTGTACTCCTGTTCTTCTGGCATTCTGTAAACTTTAATGCCCCACTGGAAACATGAGGCATACTAGCATCAGGGGGCTTGGAGCTAAGTGGGATCAGCTTTTACTTTAAAAATAAGGCCTAGAGGACTAAGTTTAAATCCGGCCTCAGACACTTGTCACTTGCTACCTGTGTGACCCTGGGCAAGTCACTTAGCCCCAATTGCCTCACCAAAAAAAAAAAAAAAGCAAAATCAAAATAAAAATAAGGCATAAAGAGAAGACAGGCTTGTCCGAGGTCACACAGCAAACTCGGGGTAGAATGGAGGACAAGAACACTGCCCTGAGACCCTGGCTTCCATGACACATCAGGATGCCACCCCTAGGGCCCCATGACAGGCAGGGGGCGCCACCCCTGACCCCTCACTGAGAGGAGAGTCTCAGGTGAACAAGGCTGCTTGTTTACCCGATTTTCATCCTCTGCCCAACAGAATTAGAAAGAGAGCACAATATAATGAAAAACGTACTGGGAGTCAGGAAACCTTGGGTTCAAATTCCATCTCTGGCCACATACTAATGTTGTGACCTTGGGCAAGTCACTTAAAAAGGATAGCTTTTCTCATCTAGAAAATGACAGGTCAGGCTGGATCACCTTCCAGTTCTGAATCTATAATCCCCGGAGACCAGCTCGGTGCCTGTTTTGGAGTCCAAAACAGTCAAGCTACAAGCACTGAGTAAATGTCCACGAGGCATTTTTGAGGAACCCTGGAGGGCATGGCCCCCAGAGAAAGGGGCCAGAGCACATGCTACCCTTGGCTCTTAGCCCCCTACTGTGCCCTCCCCTGGGGTCCTTCTCTTCAATTCCCCTGGTCTTTTCTGTCTGTCTCCTCCCTCTTCCTCTCTCCCTCTCCTTCCTCTCTCTGTCTCTTCTCTCTTTGTTTCCCTCTCCGTCTCTGTTTCCTCCCAATCTCTCTCTCCCCCCTCCCCACCTCTGGATTTCAGTTCTACTCACAGAAAACTTCAACTATCTGCTTCCTTGGGTCCTCTCAGTTCTTCTAGCCTGAAGTTCTGTGGGTATTCAGTGACCCAGAGGTCTGGCCTTTTTCAGCTCACTCTAAGACACTGGAATAGAAAACTCATCTTGCTTGATTCCCAAGACAAGAGCTAAAAGCAGTGAGTGGAAAGAAACCCCAGAGACAAACTTTGAAGGAAAAACCCTCTAAACCATCAGAGCTGACCCCAAATGGAAGAGGCTGCCTTAAAAGGAAGTTAGTTCCCCATCACCAAAGGGATGCCCATTTCTTAGGAATGTTGCATGAGGGGTTCAGGTGTGGGTGGGATGACATCATGACTCACATCAATCAGGCCAATCCAGGGAGACTGGGGTTAAGAGCTGACATTTACACACAAACGTCTGGCATGCATGAACTCATCTGAGCCCACCGGAAGCCCCACTAGGTCATAGTCATACACTTGCCTGTGGCCAAGAAGCCGCTAGATGCCAGAGGCAGAATCCAAACCCTGCTATTCCTCACTCCCAGCCCAGCGGGTTAGCCAATGAACCGGATGCCCATGATTCTAGTACAAAGGTGAGTCCAGACCGATTTACAGAAGGGTAACCCGAGGCTCAGAGAAGCTGACCAACTCGCCCACCATCACACGGGTAAGTTTTGATTGGTCTGGGTTTTTAAAGCAGACTGTGATTTCATCTGTGGGGGGAGGTGGGCACCTGCTCAGCAAATTCCAGTCTTAGGAGAGTCACCATGGGCACAGAGAGATTGAGACTCCCCCAGAGCCCACAACCTGTATGGGCTAGAGAGAAGATGAAGCCAGGTGTCCCTGACTTGGAAGCCAGCTCCCCAGCTTCTCCCCACGGTAAGTTTTCACCTCAAAGAATCACAGACCATTAAAACTGGAGAACTGGGGGACTGTGGCCTAGCCTCCTCAGCTTACAGGAAGGGAAAGTGAGGCCTGAAGTCATACAGCCAGTTATCTGGAGCAGGACTGCAAAGGGGGAGAGACCAGATCAAGGCATATTCTACTGGACCATGGGCAGAAGAGAGTCAGGAAGCAGGCAACCCTGTTCCACACCCTGCCTACCTCCTTTTGAATATTATATTCACCCTGAATACTAAAGCATCTGATAACCAGAGGGTCTTTGAGAAATGTCCCGTCTGGGCAGAGGAATCTGTTTCTCATAGAGACCCCATGACTGAAGCTGCCTGGCCCTCTGCTGACAGACACTCAGGGCTCACTGGTGGATCAGGCTCAGCTTTGGAGAGCTGATTATCAGAATAAACCCTGAACACAAAACTTCCCAACTCTGGGAGCTGCCCCAAAGTGGACTCTGTTGCCTAGGGAGACGTGAGCTCCCCATTTCTGGAGGTCTCCAAACAGAGGCTGCCCCACTGGGATTTTGGGGAGGGCACTGGGTGGTCTCCGAGGTCCTGGCCAGCTCTGGGAGGCTGTGGGGTCTGGGGTGGGGCTTCTCTCGTGGTTTACTCTGTAGAGCTGTGCAGCCTGGCATCCCATCCCCTTCCAGCTGCCCTGACCTGAGATTCTGAGACCCAGATTCTGCCGTCAAAGGAGCCCGAGGGAGGCCAGAAGCATCCCGTGGTGGGGCAAGAGCTCAGGGCTCCCACTGCACTCAGGCCAAGATGACTGGCTTGTCAGCACAATACACCTGCTATCCTTCCTGGGAAAACCTATTTAGTTCAATCAAGCGGAAATAGCCAAGGGACCAGCATGCCACATTTCTCCCGCAACCTCCTTCCACCCCCAAGGCCTTTGTCCAAGTCAGCAGTGGGGGCTGTTCCTGGGTCCCCCGGCCCAGACAGGGCAGGGCCCCAACACCAAGGTCCCTTCCCTAACTTTCTGCCAAATTCACTGGGCCGTAGAAGGCAAGCCCCTGCCCCTCTCTAACGGGGAGCTCCGTTGACTTTTCTCCCCACTTAATTCCACAGGCGATGCAGCCCCCCGACAGAGCAACACACCGGAGGCGAGCCCTTTCTTGGGCCATGGGTCTCCCTCATCGTTTTCCCCAGAGCCGAGAGCTGGCGTAGCTTTCCAGGCATCCTGAGGGCCCGCCCGGTAGGGAGCTAAGAAAGAAGGCTCTGCTAGTCCCCGAAAACTGCCCAGTTCCCTCCCCAGGCTAGGACAGCCTGCCCTGTGTAGCCCAAAGTGGGCTTTCTACCCATAAAGCCCCAACACCGAGGCACGGACTACTCTGTCCCCGCAGCCGGGGGGGGGGGCCCACTTATGGGGGGTGCTGGAAAGGGGGCTGAGGAGCTGGGCCCGGGGACGCTTAGGGTATCAGTCCCAGCTGGCAGTGCCTACGAGCCGCCACCCCGAGAAGGAGGAGGATGAAGTCACTCCCCGGGGGGCTGGCCCACCCCTCCCCTCCCCTCCCCTGCCCTGCCCTGCCCTGCCCTGCCCAGCCTCCCAGGCCCAGATCCTTCAAGGCAACAACTCCTGGGCCAGCCCTCATGGGCAGCGCGGCCGAGTGACCCAGTTCGCCAGGGGCTCCCGAGCGCTGCGCTCCGGGCAAGGGGTGGGGCGCAGCCCGGGCTCTCCCCCCTCCCTTCCCCGGGCCGAGGAGGTGCCTCGCGGGCAGGCGGGCTAGCGGGGCTCCGAGGCACACAATAACCTCCTCGGGGGATGGAGGGAAACCACCGGCAGAGACAAAGGGGGCCCCGGAACCCGGATAGCGGGAGCCTCTGGCTGGGGCTCCGGGGACTGGGATGGGGGCGAGCGCGGAGGGGGCGGGGCTGGGCGGGGGGGGGGGTCCGGCCCAGGCGCGGGGGCGCGGCGGGGGCGCAGCCCGGGAACTTGCCACCAACCTGTGTGAGTTCGGCCGGCATCGGGGCGGGTGCCGCAACGACGGCGGCAGGGGCCGAGGCAGCGGGGCCGGGGCTCGGGGGGGGGGGCCCAGGCCGCGATCGGACCCCGAGCGGGCGGCCGGCGGCCCCTGGGCTGTCACGGGCGAGCCCGCTCCGCCGAAGGAGGGCGCGGGAGGGGAGGGGAGCGGCCCGGCCAGGCTGCCCCTGCCCAGCCCTGCCCTGCGCCCCGCTGCCCGCCCTGGCCCCCGCCCGGCTCGGCTCGGCTCCTCCCGGGCTCAGCTGGGCTCCCGGGCTCCCGGGCTCCCGGCTCTGGCCAGCCCCGAGCCCGCTCCTGCTCGCTCTCTCCCCGTCGTCTCTCTCTCTGTCTCTCTCCTCTCTCCCGGCTCAGCAAACTCGGTCCCCTTTGGGGGCGGAAACTGACAGACACTCACAGCTGGAGGAGCCAATAAAGCGGCCTCTGGACACACCCAGCGGGGAGAGAGACTGGGGGGG